TGTCTATGCTCCTGCCCTCTGAAGATGCCGGTCACAGGTGCTGGTGAAACGTCAGGAAACAAAACTTCCAAAACACGGCCACACAGCCCGGAAGACCCACACCAGCCATCGTATGTCGGCCGTGAAAGCCTTCGACAATACATTTACCATCAAGTCGTTTTCAACTCCTAGTTACCACATAGATAGATCTTCCCCATGATGATCTATCCCTAGCCTATTCTTTCAAGTCCCCCAATGGTGCACTCATCGCCACTGTCCATCCACCTTGCTGCTGGTTGTCTTCTTCTACCTGACTTTTGAACAGAAGATACCAAGCACTGAATTTTGTACCTGCAAATGCATACTTGACCACTAAGCTATGGTGCCTCATTCTGGATTTGCCCTGTTGAAAAGATCCTATTCAAGCATGAAGCCATCAGAACCAGCAAAACAGCCTTCAGGAATAATTTCTACCTCTACACAACTGATACCTGTTGCTTCATGTCAACTATTCTCAAACTATCCACCTCTCTCTAAAAAGGAACATATTCAGTATTTTCTTCCCACTCACATCCTAGCTTCCTACAGATAAAGGAGTATATGCTGGCATGCAACATAATTCATAAACAAATCCATAATTATTTATTCTGGAGATTATACGTTTTATTACAGTCCTTGCAATCAAATCACAAAGGCAGGAAATTGAGGACATCTTAGTGTAACTGCTGGGACTCACTTGCATTTTTAAAAATTGCTGTCCCTTTGTTGGCTTGAGTTCTCAAAGTCTAATTTCTCTAGAATCTGCTGAATGTCACATATGGCATCCAAGGTGTCTACAGGGGGAGGTTAAAATGTTAAGATGGCAGCCACAACTGCATGATCAAAGCCCTGCAAATGTGATACATGTTAAAAAGGGGGGGGGGCTTTGATCATGCAGCCAGGGCCACCATTTTAATTTTTTTTTTTTTTACCTCTCCCTGTGGATACCCCTGGGTAGCGCCACTGAACCTGTCAACAGGCAATTCCTCCTAGGAAATATACACCCACCTTATAAGAACCACTATAAAATAAAAACAATAGACCATTAAGTTAGAAGGAAGTCTCATGGGTTAGGTGGAGGAAGAGAGAGAAGAAGTGAAATATAGCAGAAGAAAATGCTGTCCAAGGTATTACATCAATGTTGTTTGGAGGACTGGGTACACAATAACACCGTTATTGCACACCACACACACTGGTCTTGCTGCAAACGTGGTCAGAAAGCCACATTTCCCAGATACCAATGGTTTAGGAAGCTGGATTTAGCAAAATGGGATTTGACCTTCCAAAACAGGAGAGTTGGCACTTATGAACAGCCGTGGACAGGCAGAGACCCAGCTGGCTTTTCAGGAGCATGCTGAGAGCCAGCTTAGAAAAAAAAAATGATTTGAGGTTGTGCACACAGTCTACTGTCTCTATTGTCTCTCATTCTTGGCAAAGCCACCTGCTTGCAGTTGAAGAAGGCGCGTGGTTGCTCAACTACGTACGTCTGATTCAAATCTGCATCTTGGGCTGCCAGAGCGTGAGCGGATCAGGAAAGTTGGTTTGATGGAGAGTTGTTCTGGTTTGTCACCAGACAGCTGCAGGGGACGTGTATACTCAGAGATCACAAAGTGGCCTCGGGAGGGACTTTCATGATCTGCATGGAAAAAGCAACCACATAATTGAATGTCACACTGGCTGTCCTGCAGCAACTGATGTAGCTGAATAGGCTATCGAAATAAAAAATGGAAGAACACCCTTGGGAGAATTCTGAAATAACAGACCCCAACTTTCTTACTTTTTGCAAGGTTTGCTTTCATTTTTAGAAACCTGCTGGAGTAACCTAGAGTTGGGCAGCATCCAAATTGAATAAAACTCTTTCTAAAAAACAAAACAGAATATGTTTGGCTCAAAGTTAAGTGACTCACGAATTTTCATTATTCCCCTCTCAGTTTTTCATTAGATCAGTTATCAACGTTCAACCCCACTCCTTTAAACAAATCTTAACTCATAAAGGCACCCCACCCTTTGTCTTGGGGGAACAAGTTTTATCCTCAAAAGATAGTCTGATGGTTTTCCTTATGAGGTGTTTAAGTCAGATTGGCTACAAAATATGGCCATATTTTTGATGTGATCCCTGATTGTCTGGGATGACAGCACAAAGAGTTTCAGTTTCATATTTATTTTGGTCATTGACTAGAATGACCTACATACATATATATCAAGCAATACAGTGGTACCTCTACTTACGAATGCCCCTACTTACGAATTTTTCGAGATACGACCAGCTCCGGCCCC